AGCTACCTTTGGTATAATATTTTAGAAGCAGTGAAATTTGGAATCTAATACTGCAAAACATTGGTAGAACAAAAGAATTTGCAAAAGCTCATCTTTTCAGATGATAAGCAGACTCGTCCTTACTATATCATTCTTTTGACCATGCCTATGTCAAAGGACATGTTGAAAATTAATATATTTGAAAGGCACGAAGTGGAATGGAATTGAATTGACATTACATATCTTTGAGCTAAAACAATGAAACAGCTAAAAAGGATGAGTGGTAGTTTTGTTTTTATGTTAATGTGCTGCTACCTAGTGATCATTTATAAAATGACAGGGCTTCTCTACCTCTTTAGACTTGGATTTGTTGAGCTATGTCTGTGTACCACAATTTTGGTGACTAATTACCTAAAGTTAAATTAAATATCCAAATGAATCTCTGCATTATTTGTAAAAATACTCTAATGGTAAGAACTGTAGGGGGAGTCTCAAAAAAAAAAAAATAGTCTCCAGTCCCTGATTTGTTTGTGTCAGCTTTATGATTCTGAGTCAGGACAACATTAATCTGCAGGCCCTAACTGGCTCCAAAGTTCTAGGAGAGGCTCTGTACTAAGGTGGTGACCAGGACAATAGTCTTGCTCTAAACTTTAGCATTATATCTTCTTTGAAATGGGGGTGAAAGAGAACCTTCTGCTCAGGCAGCTGTGCACACCCAGTGTTGCAGTGCAGGAGAAGGGCTTATCGCAGAAAATACCCCAGAGGAAGTTAAGATACGAGAGCTCAGATTGTAGCTCCTAGGCAAAAATCCTTTTCTGCTTGTTAAAATGAGTCCCTCCTCTCCCCCAACGGAAACCCCTAAGCCCAGAGGTTCAGCAAACAAGACACTGGGCTGTAGCTGTAGCCTCCTCAGTGGTACAATAAGGTCCTGATTTTGATACCCAGCACTGGAAAACAAAAAAGAACAAAGAAAAATTCTTGGAATTGTCAGCTGATTGCAAAAGCACATTGGAACAATTCAACTTTTTCAATAATGAATAAAAACTGCACAGCAGCTAGAATATTACAAGTCACTTGAAAATTGGAATTTGGTATTATTTTAAAATGATAGTGGCAGGGACATCAAGACATATCTGCTCTAATTTTCTCTCCCTGTTGGTGTCTTCTGGATATCTGAGAAGTTAATATACGCTGGCTAGCACAGTGCTAACCCAAAATACTTCTTTCATTTTCCCAAGAACTAAAGTGAGGGCTTGTATCCTCTGCATCTTAGTCCACAGGTCAGAGAAACAGTCTGCTTAAGAAGCAACAGCATCTGAAATTAAAAGATATCTATTCCGTACTTTACTTCTTCAACCATTAGGATACTTCTCTGGAATATTAACGTATCAAGATGATTCACTTTAGCTCGGACTTTCCATGCAGATCTTTTGGTGCTGCTTGCCTATTTTTAAAAATAGCTTTTTTGAGCTACAACTGAGATATGCGGAACTCACCTATTTAAAGTGTACAGTTCTATGAGTGTGAGTGTAGCTGCTATCACACAGGTTTTTAAAAAAAAAATATTTAGTACAAGGTCTACAGGGTCTCACTACACAGATTGAACTCGGAGTGATCCTCCTGTTTTCAGCCTCCCAAGAGCTGGGATTACAGGAGTGCACCACTACGCCCAGTCTCAATCCCCGGTCTCAGTGTGCCCTGGGGGCAGGGCCAGGCAGGCTGGGGACTGTACCCCTGTCCCTTGCATCTGCCTAAACAGGTGCTTTAATCTGCTGAGCTATCTGGCTGGCCCCACGATTCAGTTTTAAAGTAATTCCAACATATGCTTTGTATTTGACCAGACTTGTTTTGAAAGGATTTATTGGACTTCCAACCTGTACATTTAAACCAATTGAGATCCAGGATTTAGCTGAAACATTCATTTTGAATAAATCTAGCTTTTAGGAAAAACAAATTCAGACTCAGGGTTAATAAAGACTAGGTTAATAAAGCCTAGTCTTTAACATCTTTGCAGGCATACGTAGACTAAGAATATGTACATGGAATATGTACACAAGAATAAAAGTGATTATATAAACTGTTTTTAAAAAGCATATATTTTATAATTCATTATAATTTATGCCAGTAGGCATAAAATTTAAAGATGTCTCCACTTATGATGATCTTTTGTCCCATGTAATAATTTGAAAGATGATTAGTCAGATATGCTGAACATTTTGATCTAGCGCAGTCAAAACTAACTGAGGTAATATTCATTTTTTCTGTAATTTGTGCATACTTCTGGGGGGTTGGCCCTGAGATATCAGCTTGGGTCCTTAGGAAAAGCTTCTTCCTTAATGTAGTATTGAAGGCCCTGATGTTGTCCAGTGGCATTAATCAAGAAAGAATTAATTAGCACACTCCTCTTGGTAGAGATACAGTATTTACGGTCTACGTCTCTCCATATAACCTCTATTAAATGTGTACATCAATCTAGGTGTGGTGGCACCTGCCTGTAATCCCAGCACTTGGGATGTGGGGGCAGGAGGGTCTCAAGTTCCAGGGCAGCCTGTGCTACACTGTGAGTTCAAGAGCAGATTGGGACAGAGACTCTGTCTCAGAAGCCAAAACCAATAATGGTGATGATGAAGATGATGATGACAATAAATGTGCATTAAAATCTTTCAATTGCCAAGAATTGCAATCTGGGAATAATGAAAATGCCTCTTTATTTTTTAATTTATTTTTCTTCGTCTTATCTCAATATATGTGTAGTGTTTCAGAGGGAAAGCTGTACGTATATATTAATTCCTCTTTGGAAATTCCAAAATGCACGTTTTCTTTAACCCTACAGAGTTTGCTGCTAACTCCACTCATTTTGAGATTTAAATACCATTTTATATTGCTGTTTAAGTGTTCCATATGTGCTAGTTCAGTCTCCTCCACTAAATCAACCTGTGGTTAGCAGGATTGTTTAAACTTTGGATGAGTGTAAATAAATGAATTCTCCACTTCCCAAGCACCTACTTCACGCTGGCCGCACCAAAAGCTACTCAGTAAGTACTGTTGAAGCAGCAAGCGATGCCCCTGGTTTGTCTCGCCTCCTCTGGACCCCATATCATTTACACTTCCCATCCAGCCAAGATTTCCTAGACGTCACAGATTTTCTGTCCTCCTGTCCTCCTAACAGTTGCATGTGCCACTCCATATGTCTGAGACATATGGTCCTCAATTGCTGTAATGTGAAGCCACCTCTCTTGTCACAAACCTCTGGTATGCATTTCTCCCTTTTCTCGAACAAATAGAAATTATTACAATTTGAAATACAGTCCTTTTATTTAATTTTATCCTTACTTTTTAAACCTACAAAAGCATACCCGTAGATGTTTGAAAATACCAAATATACAAAGCAAAACTCATCTTCTAAGGTAATAATCTATTTCTTCCCCCCCCCCCCCCCCCATCTTTTGAGACAGAATCTTGCCCTGTTGCTCAGTCTGGCCTTGAGCTCACTTTGTAGCCCAGGCTGGTCTTGAACTCCTAGCGATCCTCCTGCCTCAGCTTCGCAAGTGCTGGAATTACAGGTGTGCACCACCATGCCTGGCATCTTTCCTGTGATTTTCATTTTGAAACTTATAACTCAGGTCCCCACTCAGAGGGCCTAGAGAACAGCGGGGATGCACAGAAGGCGCTGCGTGGTCCAAAAGGTGCTGCGCGTGGAACTGAGACTCGCGTCCGCGTCCACAGATCGCTCCCTCAGTGCCTGCGCGAGCTACGGGGAATCTTGCACACGTGCAGCCCCTTTACCAAGTTGGGCCAGGAGGGCCAGATTCAAGGATCCTCGCGGTCTTACAGAGTCTCAGCACCGAGAAGACTGCAGTGCCCCGCGGCAGCGCTAAGGGCATCCCCCGCACTGCGCTCCCGCAGCCACGCCCCTCCGGTTTCAGCCGAGCCGCCACGCCCCCTTTCTTTAGTATTTGACCTCGGCGCGCAAGCCTGACGACGGCTGTGATTGGCTACAAATGAGCAAACTCCTTATGTGATTGGCTGATAAGGACAGGGTAGGTGGGGCTACTAAAGCCCTGGGCAGGAGCTGAGTGGTGATTGGTTCCTGAACGAGGCCGAGTAAAAGGCGGAAGCGAAGGTGGGCTTCGCCGGGCGACCTGAGTTATGGAAGCAGTCCTGTGTCCCAAGCACGGTAGGGGCGCGGAGTCTGAGGCTTTCCCGGGGCCTGCGGACTCGCCCGGCGTCACTGTTACTGACCTTGTTTTCCTCAGAGCATTTCTGCTTTTTGAAGACCGGCGTTCGCGATGGCTTGAATAAAGGAAAGAGCTTCTACGTGTGCAGGGAGCACGCGTGCGACTTCGTGCGGGCCACCGAGTAAGTCCCTGCGGGCCGCGGCGCCCTGCGGCCGGGACGCCGAGCCTCCCTCCGAGCGGGCCTGGCCGTGGGCCGGACGTGGCGACTCGCGGCCCCGGATCGCGGAGCCCGCCCCTGGGCGGACTCGCCGCTGCAGGCCTCGACGCCCGTCTGGCCTGACCGCGTCCCTGTCGCGCTCGGGCGGGCGGGCGGGCGGCAGCGCCGCCGCGGCTCTTTGAACCTGGGAGACCGCGGCAGGCGGAGTCGAACCTGGTCTGTCCTGATTTTGCACTAGTTTGAGAGCAACCCATTTTTAAGTGATGGAGGGTAGAAACCTGGTGGTTAAGTTTTAGGTCTGTTTAATTAAAAAAAAAAAAAAAAAGAAAGTTCTCAGACTCTAAATGTTGAGGTTATTCAAAAAAGTAAATTTCTTTATAAAAGAAACAGCAGAGATCTGACTCAGTGTTCTGGTTTTACTTGAAAGTTGAGACCCAGAAATGTTACGCAACCTAAGGTGCAGAAAATTAATGCTGTTACCAGGTATTGGTGTTTTCTGATACTAGGCGTCTACAGTCTTCCTTTTTTCGATGCCTGTTCTGCTGAACTTGGCAGTTATTTTCTTCATATTAAATATCAAGTACGTAATGGATATTAGTGGCGTCCTTTCGAGTTGTTTGTTTTCACGTATTTCCCGTACGTGAGTTAAACGATACGTATCTTTGTTTTGCTTTCAAACCGAGTGCAAGACTTTGCATCTTTTTTCAGATTCAGAAAATAAAGTTGTACAAAAAATATTTTCTTAGCCCCGTATTTTTTTTTTTTTTTTTTTTAATTTGAAAGACTTGGATCAGTGTCAGAAGATGAAAGAGATCAGTCAACACTCGAGGCTTCTCTAGATCAACAAGGCATATCAGAGTTTGCTGGTTATTTCTGCTAAATACGCTGAGCCTTTTTGGTTTAGTATTCAGCTGAATTTTGTGAAACATAAGCATGTTTGGGTTTACGGAAATCGAACACTGATGGTGACAAAAGACATTAAGAGAGGTATACTCTTAAGAACATTGTATCAGTGTTGTGGTATACAGACAAGTACAGTAATATCTTATTGAGGACAATTATAAACTTGACATTGGAATATATCTGATAATCAGAATATAGACAAAAAAAATTTCAGATGTCTTAGCATACTTTAGATGTTAACTCAAGCCTGTATACTCAGATGCATGAATAATTATTTTATAAGCTGGGAACATAGTTTAAAAACATACCAATCAAATAGAAAATTAATAGGCTTTTATTAGAAGTAGGTATGAGAGGGCGGCAAGATAGCTCAGCAGACTAAGCACCTGCTTAGGCAAGAGCAAGGACCAGGGTTTGATCCCCGGCAACACATGCTGCGTTGGGCTCTGCCCCTGCCCCTACCCTGGGCGGGCGTACTGAGCTGGCCAATGTGTCAGCGCGTGGTGGTGCACGCCTGTAATCCCAGCACTGGGGAGGCTGAAAACAGGAGGATCACTATGAATCTGAGCTGCATGGTGAGATCCTGTGCCAAATACATCAAAAATAAAAGAAGTAGGTGTGTGACTAAACGCTAAGTGACGCTATCAGGCTACTAAATGATAAAGAGTAATGACAAAAGTTGACATAGGGTCTCTGTCAGGCTTGCTCTTTGAGTGAGTGTCATGATGTTGGTCAAGCAATCGTATAGCTTTAAACTTTTGAGTTATCTAGAAAATGACATTTGTTGTCACCCTTCACTTGAGAAAGTGAGGAGAGACGGAATCTACGGACCCTTACCCCAGAGGAAAGCACATGGTTATCCCAACAGTGTGTAGGGTTTACGGATCCAGTGGAGGCCGGGCATAGATTCTTGGTTTAAAATCTATAGTTTGGATTTGACTTCAGGATGTTGAACCCCGCTCCTTGACTCCTAAGATGAGATGTTTTCTTTTTTCTTTTTCCTCCAGCACTCCTGTTTCCCATTGTTTATTTCATGAAGATTCTGTGGTAGAGCTTCAGGGGTTGACTCTTCTACCGGGCACAAAAGAATACAGGTAAGGGTTCCAAAGAAACATCAAAATGTATTTCTTTTTCTTGTTTTTTCTTGAAAAGAGTTCCAGCGAGGTATAGCTTTGGATTGTCTCTTAGAAGTTATTAAAAACAAATAATATTCTTGTATTATTGGGTGTCTCCGGAGCTGTCATTCTGTAACTGCTGAACAACTGGTTATTCTGAGAAGCCTGGCCTGTGACTAATTTCTGCAGAAACAGTTCTACTATTGTTCTTTTGCAGCTCTGGGGTTACTAATAACATCAGCCCGCCCACCAACAGCCACTAACTCGTCAGCTCTTAATTCTGGTAGTAGGATGAGATAATATATAATAAGTTATACTGTATGTTAAATATACTATAAATTATAGTTTCCTTTCCTTTAGATGGAATTTGGAAAGGGCAGGAAGGTGCATACTGATGAAAGATGAAATTTGTCTTGGATTGACTGAAAGTTAGCTAGGGATTTACTAGGTGTTAGGAAAGGGTCATATTTAATAGTTTAAGACTTACCATTAGAGTATCACGGCATGAAATGACATCACATCGTGAGGAAATTTGGTTTGGAAGTAATTTAGTAGATAATTGCCTGTCATGGTGCTGGAGGTTGAACCTGGGGCCTCCTGCTTGCTAAGTACATATTCTATCACTGAGCCCCAGGTTAGTATTTCAGTAGAGCCTTCAGGAGTTAAGGTTGACTAAGAAGACAAGGGCTGGATTTTGATTATCTCTGTGTGATATTCTGTGCGTTTCAATATTTTTATATCCTCAGTCTCAGTCCCCGCAGCCCGGTGCACAGGTATCGAAGTACTAACTTCGCCATAGTTAATTGACTGCTGCGTATAGTTAAGATGCGCACGTAGTCTCTACCTCAGCAGTAATTTGTAAAACAACTGAGATAGTGACATTCATATAGTCCACTGATCTAACTGGGAAAGGTAAGTTTTTAGTGGTACGTGTGTGTGTGTGTGTGTGTGTGTGTGTGTGTGTGTGTGTGTGTGTTTGGTGGGTTATTTGTATGTTTGTTTATTTGCTTTTTGGGTATTTTTGGTGCTGGTAGGGATTGAACCCAGACTTTTCCCTTTTTTTATTTTTTTCTCATGAACTTTATTGAAAATCAAAAATTATATAGCATATGAAAAATTTAGACAAATATTGAAATGTGAAAGATAAGATGTAGACTGAGTGAATTTTAGAGAAATATTTCTGGAATGAATACATAGCATGAGATTAATAATAGATTGCACATTGTAAATAAATTATACAAAAACTTTAATGAATATAACATTAAAAATTGTTCAAAATAAAAATGAAGAAGAAAGAATTTACAGATCAGTCATATAATAGTTCACTCTGGACCAAATTTAAAAAACTTATGGTCATATAATTAGAATTCTCAAAGTAGAAAAGGGTAGGCAATAAATATTTAAAGATTTAAAATTTCTGAATTTAGTTGAAATTATAGCACCACATTTTCAAGAAAAATGTACCTTTTGCACAAGAAATTTGAATAAACTCATACCAAGATACACAAAAATGAAATTGTCCAAAACTAACTGAAAAGAAAAAAATCATTAAAGCATATACATAAAGAAAATTAGCTCTGGAAGGACAAAATTAAATAGCATCTTATTCCACATTAGAAGAAAAAAAGAGCAAATGAGTAAGAAACTAGACTAATTAATTCGAAGGACTGAAAGAAAAAAAATAAAAAGATCTATCCTCATTGAATTTTACACTTAGCAAACATACCTTTGAAAACTAAAAGTAAAACATTTTCCAGTTATGCAAACTCAAAATATTCTAATAATTCCAGATGTAGTAGCATATAAAAAATAAAAAAGAGCATAATCCAGAAGGCAAGAGAAGTTGCTGTGTGGTCCTGGATAAAGAATAAAGAGCTCTCAAAATGGTAGTTATGCAGGACTATGTAAAATATATTAGATGAACCCATTTAAAAGATCATTGAAGATTTCTACAAAACAGTATCAATCTTATGTCGGGTTATATACGTATTTTATGTGTGTATGTGTGTGTGTGTGTAAAAGGCAAGGAAGAAGTAATATAAAGTCAATGGAAAATGGAAATACACTTTTGAAAGTTTCCAATAGGAGAAAATATACTGTGTCTTGTAAGTACTGTAAGTCAAAGATACAGTATAAATCTTAAAACAAAAATTAAGATTAAACAATATTCAGAAAATTAATTAACTATTAATTAAAAATTAAATATTTCAAAACAATTCAAGTAAGAAAAAGTTCTCATGATAGTAAAGAATTTTTTTTTTTTTTTTTGGTGGAACCAGGAATTGAACTCAGGCCCTTGCGCTTGCCAGGCAAGCACTTATTCTACTGAGCCCTCTCCCCAGCCCAGTAAAGAATTATGAAGAATAAAACGTAACATAAATATTGGAATGGCAAATATGTGACCAAAACTTTTTGGGGACAGGATATTGCACAAAGTTCTAGTAAGTCCAGGCACATGGACAGTGTCCATGATGCTTACTGGGTGTCAGGTGTCACTTGTGGGACTGAGCTACTGCTATTTCCTTGATATCCACCCTGTAGACCCAGATAGAATCATGCCCCATAGGGTGCAAGAGAAGTCCATTTGTAGAGTGTGCTGATGGAAATATTTTGCTGCTATATACAAAAGAATAATTGAAAGACTGCTTTTGTATACCTCTTTGTCTCCTGCATTTCCTTGTTGGCCCTATTTGCTGGGCTCTTTCCATTCTCATTCATGGAGTTGTAGTCATTTTTATTCTCTTTCTTTCTTTCTTTCTTTTTTTTTTTTTTTTTTTTTTGGCAGAACCAGGGATTGAACTCAGGTCCGTGCACTTGTCAGGGAAGTGCTTTCCCTGAGTCATCTCCCCAGCCCAGTTCTTCTCTATAATATCTTTTAGTAATCTGTATAGGCTTGGCTTTGTCATCATGAAATTCTTTAGTTGTTCTTTGTCATGGAAATATTTCACTTCTCCATTATACTTGAAAGAGAGTTTTGCAGGGTATAGCAGTCTGGGTTGGAATTTCTTTTCTTGCAAGACTTGAAGTACTTTGCTCCATGCTCTTCTTGACTGGATGGTTTGTGAAAAGAAATCTGTTATTCTGATGGGTTTTCCTTTAAATGTGATCTGTTTCTTTTCTCTAGTGGCTTTTAGTATACTGGTCCTGTGCTGAATTTCTGGGATCTTGATTGTAATATGTCTGGGTGTGTGTTTAATTGGGTTGCTATTATTTGGAGTTCTGTATGTTTCGGTTACCTGAATGCCAGGTTGTTTCCCTGTATTTGGGAAGTTTTCTGCTATTGCTTCTGTCCATATTCTTTTTATATCGTTTATATTGACTCTTTTCTCATTGATGCCTATTAGTCTTACGTTGGTCATCTTTGCATCGTCTTGAAGATGTCGAATTATTTTTTCCAGCACCCTAGTTGTTTTTAAGAGATCTTTTCCTATCTTTTCACTAGCTGCAATGGTGTCTTCAAGGTCTGAAAGTCTATTTTCACTTTCATTCCAACAGTTTGTCAGCTTGTGATTGAGGTTTTAATTTTCTGTGTAACACTTGGTTTTTTTTTTGGTGGAACCTGGGATTGAACTCAGGCTCTTGCGCTTGCCAGGGAAGCGCTGATTCCACTGAGCCATCTCCCCGGCCCCCTGTGGAGTAGCCCTTTGAATCTGCTTCATGCATTCTATTTCTTTCCTATATTGCTTATTCAAGGATTCCATCATTTTTCTATTCGCTTCTATTTTTTTTAATCAGTGTCTTCTTTAGAAGCACTTAGTACTACTTTCATTATAATTTTCATTTCTTTTTTTACTTCAGAAATTATTTCTGTTCTGATTTCCTTTATACCTTTTTGCAGTTGTTTCTTTACTTCCTATGCTATTATTTCAGAGATTTCCAGTGTGTGATTTCCAATTTCTTCTAGGCTGTCTCCTGCATTTGTTCTCGGTGGGCTCGGGGCCTGAGAATGCATTTTGCTCCTTCTCTTTGTCATTTTGTATAGCACTGTCTTCTGACCTTTGGTGTAGAGCTTTGGTAGAGAATATTACCTTAGCACCAGGTCCGGATCTACCAAGTTCAAGCTCGTCCAGGTGGGTGTGCCTTGGGTCTGGCTGCTGTGCTCCACTTCTTCCCGCTGCAGCCCTTGGAGGTGAACCCTCTGTGCCACTCTGGCAGATGTTCTGCTCCTGAATCATCTGGGTGGGTCTGGCCTTCAGCCTCTGTGCAGGGAGTTCTGTCGCAGGGTTTCACACAGGACCTGTCTCATGGAGGAAGTTCCACTCACGCACCAGGCCTGGGCTCTGGGTCCAGTGAGGACATGGCAGGCCCCGGGCGGTCTCACTCATGCTGGGTCTGGGTTCTAGCTAAAATGAGGACCTGGTGGGCCCTGGGTGGTCTCACTCACATGCCAGGCCTGGACTCTGGCTCAAATGAGGACATGGTGGGCCCTTGGCGGTCTAACTCACGCTGGGCCTGGACTCTGGATTGAATCTACTTTTTTAGAAATTGGCACATTGAGCCACATCCCAGCCCAGCCCTTAATTTATGAATGAATGAACAAATGAGTGACACGTGTCTCACAAAGTTGTCCAGGCTGGCCTTGAACTCATGTCCTCCTGCCTTAGCCTCTCAGGTAGCTGACTTCACAGCAGAGTGCCCCAGCCCTGGATTGCATTCAGTTTTATCCAGTTTTGCACACGTATAGCTCCCCTGTCTCCCACCACCATCACGGATCACAGTCCTGAGCAGTCCCCATCTCTGCGGGGGTTCCTTCTGTTACCCTAATGTAAACTTCCTTGCCTCTCCTCCTTTCTTCCCACCTCACACCCAGCAAACATAGTCTGTTGCTTATTTCTAAAGTCTCATCTTTTCAAAATTGCTATATAGGGCCGGCCAAATAGCTCAGCGGATTAAACGCAGGGGTTGGAGGTGCAATCCCAGGCCTGCCTTGCTAGCCCTGCCCCCAGGGTGTGCTGAGACAGCAGTTGAGACTGGGCGTG